GCCTTTGCCCTTTCCTAGTCCATTATTTGTCTCTTCTTTTTGATTTGTGGAAGTTTATGATGCATTCTGGAAACTAACCCTTTGTTGGTTACTTGCTGACACTGGACATGTTTTCTCCCAGTCTATCTGTGACTTGTTTTTTTNTTTTTTTAACTTTTTCTCGTGTCTTTTGATGCGCAGAAATTTTCAATATAATCAGATTTGTCCATTGTTTCCTTTATGACCTGTGCTTTTTATGTCTTCTTTAAGAAGTCTTTCCCTGCCTTCAGCTCATGACAATACACTCACGTACGTTCTTCTAAAATTTTAGGTTTCTTTTTCACACATCCAATTTCATGTTTTTCTGTACGGATAAGCAAATTGTCCCACGCCATCTGCAATGACAGCACTTGGGCTTTCTACGTATAGAAATACTTCGTCTGTGAATAACGACATTTTTCTTTCTTCTTTGTCAATCCTAAGGATTTTTATTTCACTTCTTCTGCTGCACTAAGACCACGGACATTAGCATAGTCTGCTAAGAGTTCTTATTTGGAAGGAGTGTCAGGTTTTCATATGATTTTTTTTTTCAGAAAAAATAATTGACAGGAACATTTCAAACACACACACAGTAGAGAGTCCGATGGGCCCCACGTGCTCATGACGCCGACTCGACAATGGACACTGTCAGCCTTCTGCCCTCTCTCCTCACGCTTCTGGTTGTTGTACTTTTGCTAGAGTTCAGACACTTTGATCGCACAGGGTTTTTTCTTCCTTAATCTGTTAATATGATGAACTACATTAATAGATTTTGTAATGTTAAATTATTTTGCATTTTAGGGCCGGCCCGTGGCTCACTCAGGAGAGCGTGGTGCTGACAACACCAAGTCAAGGGTTAAGATCCCCTTACTGGTCACCTTTTAAAAAAAAAATTTTTTTTGCATTTCTAGGAGAAATTCTAGTTCATTACAAAGATAGTTTTTAAGTACAATATATCTAGATTTGATTAATGATTATTTGCCTCTGGATGTTTGGATTTTTTTTGCCTTTGTGATAATGATCTCTATTTTTCTTTTCTGATATTGTTCTTGTTTAGTTTTTTATATTCTCTGAAGTAGTCTGTATAAAATTATAATAACTTCTTAAATATTTAATGGAATTCACTTATAAAACTATCTGAACTTGGTGGCTTGGGTAGGATATTTTTAATTATTCAATTTCTGAAATGGCTCAAGTTTTCTATTTAATGTATTTTTAACTTATGTTAATTTAATGTATTTTTTCCTCTAAATCACCCACTTTACTAGACGTATGAGTGTGTCTAGTGCTTTCAGCCATGATCTGGGGACTGGTGACTCCGCTCGTACTTACACCTGCAAGTGCCTCCAGTTCCACCCT